TCCACCTTTTGCCCATTCATTATATTCTGAAAGAATTACATTGTCGGATCAATAACACTATAAGTCGCAATAAAAACGCACCTTCGATAGACGTATTTTTATTTGTTAGAAATTATATTACATTCTGTGTAATTATATTACAACTTACATCTAACGCTCCTTCTGATAACGGAAACATTTCTTCAAATTTCTTGATATTTCTAATAGCGATTTCGACTGATCCGCATCGGTGTGCTACCTGTGTAGAGTTGGCGCAAGCACAGACTACGGTCTCCGATATATACTCCATGCGTGCGATTGATTCGGAACACCCTCTACATCCACACAGAAGAAACTAAGCCGTCCGTTACAAATAATGAGTTTATTTATTACAAACAGACTTTTTTGTGCATTACAAATTTGTTCCTATCATAATATAAAACAACAGGATTTTTTCATACGCAATGCAGATCTTTTTTCTTTTATCCGGAACTAATAAAAAGATGAAAGGAAAGAGAGCAAGAAAAAAGCGGCTCGTTTAATGAAACATCAATAAACGACAAGGGAAAGTTTGAATGTTTCACAAATTTAAATCAGATATATAAATTTGTATATGTAGTATGTTACGATTTGACTAGTGCAGACTGGCTAAGATAGAAAAAAAAGCTTTCACATCAGCAATCTTTTTGTTTTTCGCACACACACATCTCTCCCTCTCTCTTTCGCTCTCGCAGTTTTACATCTACAATAGTTTATATTGTTCACACAGCATTACGAGCTTAGCATTAAATTATTTGACACGTCCAAATAAATGCAAGATACTTCGTACGTAATTTAAAGAAGCAGTTCGAACACAACCATCATAGAATAAAATGGCTTAAATCTTTAACTTTAAAATTAATAGCAAATAATTTCTCTCTGTTATTCTAGTTTGTTTAGTTTTTTTTTCTCTCTCCAGTTTCTGTCGACAAACTTCGCAAACACAAGCGAAGAAATTCTCATTTCCAATATCAAACAATGCATTTCTAAAATTTAACTCTAATTAACACTTACCCGCAACTTTCAATATCTTTGCTCTGTCTTATTTATACACTTTGTATAAATAATATTTTGTCTTTCTTGTATTTAACGTATCTTGTAAATATATAGACTTATGCTCTTTTTGAAGATATTATAGAACTATATTATATATCTACTACTAGACAACATTAACTATAATAATGGACAATTTTATCACATCAATTTCTATTCTTAAAAAGATTCCTTTATTCGAAAGAAATGTTTCTGTTCTTCACAGCGTTCTTGTTTTTTTTTTTTTTTTTTTTTTTCTTCCCGTGTCGAGCCTCATCTATTAAAGGAATCAACTGTCGAGCTCTTCAGAGAACGAGGTTTGTAATCTCATTTCGTTATGTGTAAAAATATTAAAATATATATTTGCGCAGAAACGTCGAATTATACGCATGTGATATAATGAAAGAAAGTTGAACTAGTGGGATTGAGATGGTATCACCGATATGTACGCTGAATAGAAACGACATGTTAGGGAAACAGTTATTTTTCCATTTTCACGCGCGGTACGATGTTTGCTTCTTCTTCGTTAATGTACATCTCGGCAAAGACAACACAAACAAGATATCTGAGAGAAATCATTACTTTTGTGTAGGTTTGTTTGTACTTTCAAGCAAAACTTTGTATTGGAGAAGAATGAATCTCGTGTTGTATAAATCTTTTTGTAATAGACGATAGACGATTTTTGATGTAGCATCCTAAAAACCAAACAAAAGATAAATATAAGATGTATTTATTTTAGAAATTGTTATAATAATCTTTAACGAAATTCTTGAACAATGAAATATAATGATTGTACCTCAAAAAATGACGATGAAACTTCAACGTCTCTTGTTCCCATGACGACGAGTGTACTTACGACTTTTCCTGTAAAAAAAGAAAGAGTTGTGTTCTCCACATTCCAGCAACAATTTGTTTAACGACAATACAAGTACAACGATATAAACCTGATTTTGCTCGGCGACGGAACCGGAGTGTGCTCCGCTATAACAGGCAGCTCTGACCTGAATTTAGCAGTTGGACGTAAGACACGCGCAGTAGATTTCGAAACTCTCCAAATTAGGTTCTGTTTATACGGCGTTTGTTCCTGGGCATTATACTTGCTCAGAATGACGTCCACCGCTCCGCGCGTGAAGTAAAAACTTTGTTTTGATATCTAAAACAAAAAAAAAAAAAAAAACAATCATTACAGTATAGACAAATATAAAAATAAGATGCAGTTTATATAATAAAAAAGAATCGTGTGCGGGATTTTACATTGCATTCATTTTGGAGCCATTTGGTGAACAGTGCAAATTTATCTCTCAAGACTTGATGAGGCGGCACGGTGGCAGTATCGTGTGTGGATGGCACGGAGGCATTTCCGTTTGCGTTTGCGTTTAATCGGTTGACAGTGGTGTCCAAGTAAGTGCAGAGTAATACTAAAGCCACCACCGACGGTCTCAAACTCGCGCAACTACCGTCGCAGGCTACCATTTCCAACATGAGAATCAGCTCGGATATCTGAAACAAAAAATGGACAATATGAAAAGGAGAGAGAATTTGATTATATACAAAATTTATATACAGATTTTCACAAAGTAAATTACTTTATATAAAAAAGTGTTATTTATTTTACTGGTGTTTTTCCATGATTAAAATACAAAGAATTTTAATACGTCTTGTAACTAAAAGAGAGAGATGATTTAACCTTAACAACACTAGCGTACACATCGCCGAGATGAAATTGCGCCGCCACTGCGTGGAACATGTTATTGAACAGTTGTAAAAAAGTCAGCGTGGTAATGGGTTGAGTGCCTGGCACCCATTCCAATTTATTTCTTATCACTTGTGACATGCGTTTTAGATCGTCCGTGGTGCATCCACACTGTGAAATCGAAACTAATCGGTCGATGAATCTGTGATCTCCGTCTACGACGGGTGATAATTGGACGGCAGCTATATAAAATGCAGACACGCTGATACAGTCCATGTGTTTTTGTCTCGCTTTCATCTTCGTTAGAAAGCGATCCATCAGATTGATGGCTACGAAGAATACATCCGACGATAAATCAAACACCACTTTCAAGCATCTTAATACATGAGCAGATCTGTCTCGGGCGTCAACCGTTATTTCATCGTCCTGTAACGTGCAGACATATTTCTAAATAATTAAATACAAAATGTTGTAAATTTTTTTAAGTCAAAAAAATCAACTATCTAAAGTGAACATTTAGTTCATATTACTTATTACGTTGTAATCTGTTCGAATTTATAATTGTTACGTTGCGCAAAAGTACATACTTGCGTCGTGATGGGCAATTGACAGAGATTTGGCTGAAATTTAATCTCCTGTACCAAGTTTAGAACCAAGTCCTCTTTTAGTTTTTCGAACAAATGTATTGTATTTGGTATAGATGAGTCTAATGTGTTCATTGCTGCGGTGTGTGACATTACAGCAGCTACCAACTACAACAACAATCCGACTACGACACGCGACAGTCAGAAATGGTGTGTGTAGTGTGGCTGATGGGAAAGATCACACACGACAACAAGAATAACGGAACCGCTTTGCCTTATATCTGTAAACAAAATATAAATACAACATATATAATTATGATTTTATATATGATTATTTTTGATATTTTCTTATATAAGATTTTATTTTTCTCAATATTTTTTTTTTATTACTTTGCCTCTTTTTCTCTGTGTGTTGAAATTATTTTTTACAACGCAATAAAGTCCCTTTATACCAAAAAAAAAAAAATGTGTATTTTTGCTGCACCGATATCCATGTGTGTACACACGTACACACGGCGACTTAACATTACAGAATGTTGTTCACGCCCACATAACTGAAATAGCCGCGCGTCATGCGTGAACGGACCCTGTGATTATGCAAACTCGACGGCGTCTTTTTCTCTCTCAACATGTTTGGCGATATAAACAAAACTGTTACGCGCTTCTTCGCGCGTGCAATCCAAATTAAAGGAGAGCGTTCGTTTCAAGGATGCGTTTATCTTTGCAAGGCAATCATAATTTCAGATTCTTCTCCCTCAATCAAAAAAACTTTGAAAGCAACGCGAGAAGAGAAATGAATATGCCGGATTAATGGCTACATAGATTCATAAGGCAATAAAAAAAAAAAAAAAAAGAAAAAAAGAAATAAAACCGACAGAGAATCGACGTCACCGCAATTAAAATATATTTATATGCAAAAATATGCGTTATATCGAGAAACAATGTACTTAAAAAATTTTCTGCGCGCAGCTCCAAAAGATTAACAGCTGATGCGTGATACCGTAAAACAATACCGTAAAAAGAGAGATAAATTAAACATAAACATATTCGCTCTTAAAAACTTGCCATGTGTTCGTGTGTACAAAATCACTCCCAAATTAAGCAACGTCGACCGTTAATCTTACACGGTTTGACGTCACAACAAAGATAAACGCTCCTTAAAGAACAAGCTTTTTAAAAGAAGATACGTTACATACGTACAATGTATGTATGTATGCACACACAGTGTGATATGTATGTGTTGGTAGTGAAAACGACGTATTCTCGTCACGTAGCGAGCGTCGAGCACGAATTGATCAAAAAAAAAAAAACACGAGATTCGCTGTATAAACATTTGTAAGAAACAACAACAAAGCGAGATTAAAACAGAGATAGGCACATAAAAGCGAAACTAATTAAAAATGTTTTGCGCGCGTGTGTGTGTGTGTACGCACAAATTCTTGTGTTTTACTATCACAAATTTATCTATATAATTGTATGATGTATATGATAATAAATTCTTCAAGTCATATAAAGTAGACAAGCTAATGAGTGTATTAATTTCCTACTCGTGTTCTTTTTGAGGAAAGAAATTTTTATCTTTTTATACAAAACTCTGTAATATGTATTTAATATTTCGTTATGAACTATCAGACAAGATTGCACATGCAAATCGAATAGCTGTACAACACCAACTGGGTTTCCTTCAACAAGCGGAGATATATAAAATACACTAAAAATATTTATACAAAATATTCATTTGCGAAAATACATTTAACGGATTGTACTATCAGTTCTCGTGAACGCACACAATTTGAATAGCCGTTAAATCCACAGAGTGGGACAAACAACAACGAAAATGACATCTAAACGATTTTTATTACTAACAAGTAGAAACGCGAACAGTTAATACTTACGTGTTTTACTTGTTAAAAAAAAAAAAAAAAAAGAAAAACAGTAGACAACAGAGAGAAAAACAGCCGTTGTGTGTGTCACAAAGTACACACGACCTGGAGTCGAGAACAAAGGAGTCAGTACGGTTGTCAGACATGAAGTGAAAACGGCTGATGCAACATCAGAACTGTCAAAACTCCGGACGATTCGCGAACGTTCCGCGTTTAATATGTTTTAACGTCAGATAAGGAGGCGTTATCCACTTGCGCGTAAACAAAATGTAGAAATTTGTCGAATTTCTCACAAATGTCAATACTCAGTTATTTTTGTTTATTTTTGTTTTTCAAAGATGTCTCTCTGGTCTCTGTGTGTATGTGTGTATACAAACGAACATTGACACTGAAAGATTGACGGCTTTTAGTAGAATATTTCATCAAAGTGCATGTTTATATACACATGCGATTTAAAAAAAGTACAAATTTTTGCGAGAGATGTACGGGGACAAGTCTCGCAGAGAAATGCGTAAATTAAATGCACTGAACTCACCTACGCCATATCTAACCTGAGAGCAAAACCGACCAAGGTACTCGTCGGTGATTGTCAATGCATAACACAGTGTCTCCAACACAGAGTCTCAAAATATAAGTCGTACACCCCACCACGTTGCACTTGCGCGCGCATCGAACATATGTACCTGCATGTAGGAGCAACTTTTTTTTTAGAAAAAAAGGCAGTTTAAAATTTAAAGAATCATTATTTTGAAGTAACCGCGAGTCAAGTGTACAATACTAAAAAAAAAATCATCTGATCTTATTTGTAATCTTTTTGTAGATTTTAGAAATAAAAAAATTTGACTCTAACTTAAACGCAATTTTCTACGCACCTTCAGATGTGAAGCTCAAAATGAGGGAAAGGAAGGGGAAGTGCAAAATAAGAACTTCAATCAGTTTGTGCCGTCTGATATCTTTTCTCAAAATTCCTTTCATTCTTTCCCTCTTCTCAGTTTATTACACATATACATATATATAATTTGTATAAAATAAATGACAATTATATGTATATATATTATTTTCATATGCGTTTAAAATATAAAATATTGCGTATAGATGAGTTTTTTAATGTAAATGTATATAAAAAAAAAACTTGTATAAAAATACTAAAATATACTTACATTTTACAATCTATTTGATACATCATTTGCGTTTTCTTTACCATTCGCAATTCTCGAGCCAAACTGAAAAGCTCTTTTAGGAAAAGTAGCTGTGTTCTGAAAACCAATTACGCAAGCCAGTAAACGCAACAATAATTTATCTCCCAATCCGGGTGGCATTTTTTCGGTCGGATAACACCTGCCAATGATGAATTATTACAGTTTTTCATTATAATCCTTTTTTAAATTGTTTAAATAACAATATTTAAAACAAACATTGTTTACCTGTCCCATGGTTTTAACTGTTGTACGTATGTGATCAAATGTTCATCTAGATAAGGCAAGCGAGACTGTTTGCCATGATCGGAAACAACCCGATCATCCCGTCCTAAATTTCTCTCCGAAATTCTGGCCAATTCGAGATTTAATTCTTGTACCAACGAGTCCCATCCCTCGTGTCTCAATATAGTCCTGTGTCTCATGTATCCACCGAACAATTCATCCGCGCCCATACCCAGGAGTAATATCCTGCATGGGGACTCGTACGTTTCGTTACTCGGATACAAAACGCCTTTGGCGCGACTAGCAAACCACATGGCGCATCCCAAACTCTCATCTAGAATCGTACACAACGGATACAGCAAATCGCAAATTCGCGAACCACGATACGCATGCAGTTCCGATTGCGCAATGTCACACTGAAATAAAATCATCGCAACACAAAACAAGTTTGTTTTTGTCTCTTTCTATATAAAAAAAAAAAAAATGTATCAAATGTTTCAAATATTTTGATTGAACACAATTATACTATACTTCTACGAGATTCCATTTTCTGTTGGAGCAAATTCGCAACAATTCCGAGTACGTTTGTCGCCCAGTTTTTCTGTCCGGCACGTCATATTTCTGGGTTTTATTTTCTTCATCATTTGCATCATTTACTTTTTGAGTTTTCACAGACTTTTCGAACGCGACGTTAATGAGATCGATGCTTTCCTCGTCCGGAACATATTTGTCAACGATCGCTGCCAAAATTGCAGAGTCCAAACCACCGGAGAACAATATGCCAATTTTGGAGTGCGCACAAACAACACTTCCGCCATTTAATACAATCTTTACACAGTCCTTGCAATAATTTGGTTTTTTCTCTACTCTAACTTTTACAGATTGTTGCAACAATTCTTTCAAGCGCTCAACTCTCTCGCTTACTTTTTGATTCTCCAATAACTGTCGCAATATCTTGCCGAAATCTCTACTGTACGGCACATTTTCTAAATATTCCACATCTTTTGAATCAGGATGCAGATGTAAATTTGTCAGTGACACAGGATGTTTCGATATAGTTTTTCTGATATTAATATCTATATTCAAATGTGTCTCTAACGCTTCAATAATATCCGTGAATCTCAAATCGGGTTCTCTCCACGGATAACACGCTAAGTTTATTTGTGAACTATTTAAATTTACTGCAAAGATACCTATAGCCGGCACTTCCATCATTCCTTTCATATTTTTATTTGCAACCGAAGCCAAAGTCAACGAATTAGTTTCGTTATCTATTTTTACGAGCAAACTATGTCGCCCAATGATATCTCGTCCAAAATATAATGTTGCGTTCGATTTTTGATAATATATCAAACTGTAAGGACCTTCGATCTTCTGTAAGACAGATAAAATATCTGTGGTTGACCGCAATTCATCTGCTATCACATCTGTATCCGAAACACCATCTTTGGCCTACAATCAATATAAATTACTAGAGTTTTTGTGCTGCAACTGAAACTGATGAGACATTTTTGTCCTTTTCTCATTTTTTTTTTCAAGTTCTAACAAAACAAAAGTATGACCTTACACCTAAACATGAGTATGCAAGATATTTTTCCATACCAAACAACCTGAGAAGAGATCTCCGTTCCAAAGCAGCAAGTTATCATTATTATCTATTCTTGGCTGTGTTACTATTTTTGGTCCTCGCATCCACAAAACTGCGGCAGCAAAGTATCCTTGCCATTTGTGATTGAGCAAAATATGTTTTTCCTGCAAACTATCTGGTCCTCGCGCAGTTATTACGTCTTTGCACAAGTTCCACTGAAAAAAAAAAACAACAAAATAAATAATCTCCAAAAAAAACTTTGTGTAATTTCTAGTTTTTTTTCGGAATTACAATATTTTATTGTTCACGTTTACGCATACCTGTTTGAAAGACTCGGAAACATTTTCGGGGTGATGTATGCAACAAAATATGCCACACATTTTACATGTAAATATTACGAAAACACACGAAGCTGTTGAGCGTTGTATACTTGTAATTACACAGCTAAATCGTGCGGAATATGTTTCTTAATTTAATATATATATATCATTGTTGCTTAGTCGTAATGTAAATTACTTAAAATCATTTAAAAAATTTAACTTTCTTGAGCAAAACATAGGGTAAAAGACCCAATTACTGTCACCTGAATAATAAACTCTGGCGTTGGTGAATTGTTTTTACTACTTATTTATCAAAAACATGTGTTTTTCTTCTTTATCTGGTATTATTCGATGTCTCTAATATAAGGAACAAAATAATACCGTCTCTCAAAATCTCTATCTTTTTTTTTTTTTATTTCTAAATTTAATAATTAAAAAAGAACGATGCGAGATCTATTACCGTCAAACCCTAAAATGAAAGAAATGAGTTTAAGATTTGAGAAACAACTATGGGCTATAATACACAAAATGACATAGGTGCATACGCATAGCATAAAACTATATGGACCAATGAGCGTCGGGCATAAAGTCGCCATATTGATTTACATAAAACTATGTTAGACGCTCATTGGTCCAAATAGTCTTATGCATACGCATTCTATGTCATTTTGTTAGTTTGGTGCATATGTGGCTCAAAGCTTAGACCATATATACTTATAGACACGGCTTCAGACAACTATCTTGAAGCAAAGATAATATTATCTACGTGACGTCACATGTGGGCAAAGCAAAGGCGCGTTTATGGACGGCTTCAGATAACTGCCTTGAAGATAAGATAATATCATCTACGAGGCCGTATTTAGCCATTGCTGAAATGCCCACATGTGACGTCACGTAGATGATATTATCTTT